TCTATATCCTCCTGACTCAATCTGGGCAGATCATATGACTTAAGAAATTTATCGATGCCTTCACTATCTTCTAATTTATTGGAGTATAAGGATTCAAAATAATTTCTAATTTTTCTTGATGAATTTCTAAAGGTGAGAATCTATCTATACTTTGGTGGCTCTACAAGATTTTTCTAATTATTTCTTCTTCCTCCTTCCTCCTCATCTGCTTAGAACAGTTGTATGTAAGCATTATTTTCCTGTGGGCAGTTGAAGATTTCAGAAATGAAAAGCAATAGAAAAATATCACCCAATAGTAAAATTTTAAAACTTTTTCAATTGAGTTTACATTTGTGCAGATGAATGAAATATTTATATTGTTTAAATTTATTTCTGAAGGAAGAAGTAACTCATTTTTAACAGTAATGCTTCAAATTAAAGGTTTATTTTAAAGAAGTACTTCTTTCACTATAGACTGCATTTCATGTTTATTTGAGCTGCAGAGTTTTCTCTCCCTGTTTTATGTTTAATTTTAATATTTGTCAGATTGTTTGAAACAAAAGAAATAAGAAGATATAAGCTATAATTTATAGAGACCCCACAAATAATAAATTCTCTAAAATGTAGTTATTTTATCAAACAATCAAATAAAATTTTCTTCTTAGAACTTTTAAGCAGATTAAGGGGAAATATGACACATTTATGCATTCTACACTTCTGACATTTCCCAGTGTCACAGTGAATGGGTATAGAAATGAGTGGTCACAGCCGCTGGAACCATGGACGGTTTACAATAGTATGACACAATGCTATTTCTTGTTAGGCCCTCATGACATTCTTCAATAAAGTGATTGCCAATGAATCAAAAAACCGAATGAGTTTGTGGAACATTTCCACTGTAATGGCACCAAACCTTTTCTTCAGCAGAAGCAAACATTCTGACTATGAAGAATTACTGTTAGCAAACACTGCAGCCCACATCATCCGCCTAATGCTTAAGTACCAGAAAATTCTATGGAAGGTAAGTAACAATGAGATGACTGTCAGGCTCCCCTCCAAAGTCCACCAGCACCAGGAGATGTAAGGATTCCATGATGAAGCAATCCCCTTAGTTAGAAGGAGGAAAGATGAGAACATAGAAGCTATGCCTGTTATGCCATCCACTTAAGCTGTCTTTCCATATCCACAGGTTCTGTAGCTCCATATTCAGCCAACCACGGAATGAAATTCTGAAAAAATTTTGGAAATATTTCCAAAATATTTTTCATCAGTACTGAATATGCACAGATCATTTTTTACCATTATTCCCTCAATAATACAGTATACAGTATGCTTTTTACATAGTATTTACATTGTACTGGGTATTATAAGTAATCTAGAAATGGATTAAAGAACATGGAGGTATATGCATAGGTCATGTGCAAATACTAGACCATTTATAGAAGGGGCTTGAGCATCCTCAGATTTTGGTATCTGAGGGTGTTTCAGGAACCAGTCAGTCTGCCTTGTGTATTGAGGGATGACTATACATTCTTTGAGAGCTCCTCTTTAGCATGTTTTCCCATGTTAAACAGAAATTCTTATTTTTTTAATTTCCCTTTTACAAGTCAAATGCCACAGTTCCTCGTTCCAAGATGCTGAGTGGCACAGGGAAAAGCTAATATAACTGAGGGAGGTTTATTTCAAGTGGTTTCCATCTAATCAAGCTATTTTTCTTCTCCAGGTTCCATCTTTCTTAATCACCCAAGTAAGGAGGATGAATGAAGCCACCATGCTGTTAAAGAAGCAGCTCCCAAGTGTGAAAAAGCTGCTCCGGAGGAAGACCATAGAACGGGAGGTGAGAACAGGGAGAGCGCACACTGTTCGCCTTCTAGACTTATTCTCAAATGAAGGCCAGAGTAACTTTTTAATAATTTAGAATCAACAATTTTACATGGTCTTGTGATTATGACTGTGGCCTTTCCATTTTGTTGAATTTTGACTAAAGTTCTTGAGATATCTATCTCATGAAGATAATTTAAAATTCTGTTAAGGAATTACTGGAACAGCTAGAATGGCTCTCAAAAAAGCTGCAAGTTGACATTTCCATCCTTGTGAACTGGACTTAAGGGCAATCCCATATCCAGTAAGTCAAATAAGTAGGGAAAAAGATCTCTTTAGGGATGGAATTATATGAGAGATAATCATCAAATGGCTTTTGGTAAATTTATTGCATTCCCAGGAATTTTTCCTGTAGCAAAATTATTTGTGTAGAGGTATGTCATGGAAACAGGTTTTAGAAGAAATATCTTCATTGCTTCAGTTAAACTTGGGGGTGATCCATGAATGTCAAGCATTGATTTCATTCAACCTTAAGGAGGATCCAGATACTTGAAACTCACTTCATCTTTAAGGAACTTGCATCTAATGTGAGAAGCAAATGTGTCTAAGTGCATGAATACCCAGGATATGCCTGAGTGACAGACCAGTTGTGCAGACAATGTCCCAGGACTGTGCAGAGAATAAAGATATGTGCGTCAGCTTGAGGAACTGTGGATGACTTGATGGAGGAAGTAGTGTGCAAGTTACATCAGGAAAGATGGGTAGCACTGAAAAGAAAGAAAGGAAGGGATGTTTGTTTAGAGAAAGAGCAGGGAGGTAGGGAGGCAGGGAGGCGGGAGGCAGGAAGCAGGAGGCAGTATTGCTACCTGATTCACCACAGCACAATCGTGATGAAGGGCTGTGGTCCCTTGTAGATTGTAAGCAAAGTGACTTCATATAAGGAAAACCAACACTTGCATTTGAAGGAAAAAAAATTTTAATCTATAAAAAATTCAAACAATATTAAATTCATCATTTTAACCATTTAAAGTTCACTGGTTTTTAGTATATTCACAAAGTTGAAACTTCTTTTTTCAGTAGTTGTGTGGATAAGACATATTTTCTTTCCTGTTTTGAATGTCTGCTAACTTTTTGTTGAAGACTGAACATTCTGAATATTATAATGTGGCAACTTTAGAAGTCGGAACCCTCCTACCAGATCCCTATTCAGAGTTGGTTGCCACTGCTTATTGTACCTGTTTAGTCACTTTTTTGCTGAACTAAGTTTGTAATGTCTGTTTTGTGTGGCTACTAAAATCTCTGTTCCGTGAGCTTAATGGTTAGCTGTTGCCTTAATGGGGGCTTTGTTCAATGCCTAGAAACAAACCATCCTCACAGTCTTTGCAGATGAGCTGTGTGAGTGTTGGGGTCCCCTTTCCCTCCTCAACCAGGCAATTTCTAACTCTTCCTGAGCCTTCTGCCTCCTGCTTGCACAGAACCTGGAGATCAGCCTAGAATTTATGCCTTTTTCAGGTCTTTTCCAGTCCTGTGCTTAGTAGTGGCTGAGTACTTAGCCCTTTAAATTCTTAGAAATGTCAAAGTTTTTCAAACCCTTATTCCCTAATGCAGCTCAGTACCCAGCCTTGACTCCCAAGATTTTCAGTTATCTGTTTTTCCCAGCTCTTATCCACTGCATCAGGCAGCTGAGACTACAACATTTGCCTATAAATATTTTCAATATTACACTTCTTAGCACAGGTCAGGTTCCAAGTTAGACGACATAAAGCAAGTCTTTTGAGCCAGTCTTCCAGGGATCACCCAGACAGGTCAAAACAAGTTTTAGGATTCTTTGTGAATAAGGTCCATTTTGTTCCCTTCTTACCTATACCAGGAATGCAGGCTGATGCCTTCAAGGTTTTGCAGAGCTAGGGAGACAGGATGGGAAGAGTGTAAGTGGAAACACCACAAAGCTTGCTTTTTTACTGAGATTTGGTTGTTGTTGTTCTTATTCAGACAACCCCCTGTTTGCAACCTTTAGGTTAGCATCCAGAGTTCTGAAAAAGTTGATACTGATAGTGCTTGCCATTTTTTTTTTATGGAGGGGTGGACTTTAGGGTTTCTTGTGCTGTCCTTTTTACTCAGGAAAATATTAATGGCATAAATATGATACATGTGGAGCTGAAGCAGAGGCCTGGTTGCCAGTTACTACCTATATGAGCTTGGGGAAATTTCATTTGCTCTTTGAGCCTCAATTTTTTTTATCTTATAAATTGGAAGTAAAGTAATATCTATTTTACAGACTTATCACGATGTTTGAGTCATATACTATATAGGTAAAGCACTTTGTAAACTTTATATTGCTATATGAATGTCAGTTATTTTAATGTCTGGAATATATATGTGGATTGGTTATATGTAGCACCAAGGTTGAACTTAAAGTTTATAAATACCATGGAAGCAATGGTCTTTCTTTAGCTCTATTATAATATATTGTGTAGGAGAATTGTTTATTTTTGGTGCCAGGGATTGAACCCAGGGGCACTTAACCACTAAGCCACATCCCCAGCCCTTTTATATTTTATTTTGAGGCAGGGCCTTGCTAAGTGCTGAGGCTGGCTTTGAATGTGTGACCCTCTTGCCTCAGTCTCCTAAGCCACTGGATTACAAGTATGTGCTACCACCTGGCAGTATTGTGCTTATAATTCTTAATTTTGGTTGAATAGGCAGTTCTTTACTGAATTACAAATTCAAAAGCTAGAAAAGACTGGAAAAAAATTAGCCAGTCTTGACTTCCCCTCCTGAAGACAAATAATTTCACCAATGACAGAATATGTCTACACAGGAGCATATAAATATGTATATTTCCACATATGCTGTATGCACAGATTAGCAAATATGAATACAACTGACCTTCTGTATCAGTGTCCACTGCTTCTGATCTGATTTAAAATATTCAGGAAAAAAATAACATTAGTACTGAATATGTAGACTTTTTTCTTGTTAATATTCTCTTAAAAATACAATATTTATTTTTACAATATTGGGGGTTGTGGCTCAGCGGTAGAGTGCTCGCCTAGCATGTGCAAGGAACTGAATTTGATCCTCAGCACCGCGAAAAAATAAATAAGTAAAATAAAAGTATTCTGTCCAACTACAACTAGTTAGATGGTATCCAATCTTTTGATATTACAATTTGTGCGACAGTGAATAAACTTGTTTATGTCGTTGTTCACAAATGAAGTAATTTATAGTATAAATTTATAGATGGGGAAGTGTGTGGTCAAAATTCATATTCATTGTATATGAATAAATACTTAAATGATAAATACTTAAAACCATAAAGATTGTACCAGATTCCATAAGCAGCTCATGCTTGGTTTCCCAACATGAATCCTGACGACTAACCATGTTTTCTTTAGGGTACAAGCCCCAAGACTTCAAAGGTACTACAAAAATCACCCTCTTCTAGAAGAATGGTAAGAAAACAAATAGTTTCCTTTCCCCCATTAACTACCTACATACAATCTGGCTGCATCTACCACATTCTTGTATAATTTTGATCATGATCTATCCTTCAAACTTGGCATTTATGGCATGGAACATAAAACAGTTGTACAGAGACTCAACTAACTGATGATTGTGAGGTGTGTGGTTAGGCATCCTATATACAAGTATGAATGCCACTGAAAGTTATAGGGGAAGTGGGGTTGTTATGATCATAAGCCCAATAATACCAAAGCATGAAATTTATCTTATAGAGGCTTCTGGCTGCAGAGCTGGGAGGGGAAGGACATGAGATAATCAAGGAGTATTTTAAGAGTACAGTCTTGGCTGCAGTGAGCCAGGGACTCTGCCCCCTCTCAAATCCACATCCCTCACCATCCATTTTCTGGCATGTTCCCTCAGTTCTTGCTGATAATACTAGGAAAGTGTTATAAGAACTGACCCTTTTTAAAACCAGTGTTATAGTTTCCCAGGTCTGCCATAATAAGGTGCCACAAACAGGGTGGCTTAAAATAATAGAAATTCATGCTCTTATAGTTCTAGAGGCTAAAAGTCCAAATCAAGATGTCAGTAAGGCGAGTTTCTTCTGAGGGATGTGAGGAAAGGCCTGTTCCAGGCCTCTTTTCTAGTTTTTGGTGATGCCAGCAGTCCTTGGCATTTCTTAGCTCATAGATGCACTACTTCAATCTCTGCTTCAATCTCCACGTAGCATTCTCACTATATTTGCCCGTCTTTCTTCCACTCTTTTTTTTTAAATTTAAAAATTGAAGACTGTTTATTTGATTCTTTTAGACTCAAGCATCTTTAAGCAACAGAAATATCCTTTTGTCTAAACATATTAAGTATCTTGTAACTGTTGGATGAAATATTTTAATTCTTAAAACGTGAGCTGGTAATTTTTCTATTAAATTTATTTATTTATTCTAATATGTTATACATGACAGCAGAATGCATTTCAATTCATAGTACACATATAGAGCACAAATTTTCATGTCCCTGGTTGTTCACAAAGTAGGGTCACACCATTCATGTCTTCATACATGTACTTAAGGTAATGAAGTCCATCTCATTCCACCATCTTTCCTATGCCCCTACTCCCTCTCCTCCCCTCTCTCCTCTTTGCCCTATCTAAAGTTGCTCCATCCCTCCCCTGCTCCCTACTCCATCCCCATTATGGATCAGTATTCATATAATCAGAGAAAATATTTGGCTTTTGTTTTTTTGGGATTGGCTTACTTTGCTTAGCTCTAACTCCAGCCATTTACCTGAAAATGCCATTTTATTCTCTTTTAATGCTGAGTAATATTATACACACAGTTTCTTTATTCATTCATCTACTTGAAGGGTACCTAGTTTGGTTCCCCAGTTTAGTTATTGTGAATTGTATAAACATTGATGTGGCTAGGGTTAACAGGAACAAATCTCTTCCACTCTTGAAAAGGACATAAGTCATATTGGACTAAAAGCCCACCTACTTCAGTTTGACTTCATCTTAACTAATTACATCTTCAATAACCCTATTTCCAAGTAAGATCACATTCTGAGGGTCTTGGATCTGGGACTTCAAATATGATTTCTAGGGAAATAGTTCAGCCTATTATGTTGTTATTCTAGGGTATGTAATGAGTCAATTCCTATGCACTTTCTTTTATCAATAGTACCATCCTTTAAAAAGTTAGAAATTTAGAACAATTACCCGAGGAATAGATTTGCAAGTGGAAATTTATTTCTCTTCAGCTACATAATTATTAAAAGAGTAAAAATTTTTTGAAGCAAATGGAATTTTCCACTCTGACAAGACAGAAATTTCTGTTAATCAAACAGCAGCACAACCCTTTGAATATTTCATTTAGCTGAAAGCCCCAAGATCTGCTAATCACATCCTTCAAAAGCAAAGACACCTTCTTCCTCAACATAGTCACATTCTGTTCTGTACAGGGTTAGCTACATGCTTTGCAGGCTAGTTTCAAGTGCCCACGTAGAATTTTATTTGAGCTGGCCATTCATGGCCACTTAAGAAAAGAGGGTATTTGAGAATTTATTACTAAAATTTTCAGAAATTTGGCTTCTTAAAGTATTTTAAATGTTGAATTGTACTTAAAATAGGCTTATTTAGGTCATTGTTCAATAAAGACATTGATGGAAACATTAGTTTTTTTGTCAAAAGCCAGTTTTACTCTTTTCATTATTTTTAAAAATGTTTTATTTTTATTTTCATATTTTTTTAGTTGTAGTTGGACACAATAATCTTTATTTTTCTGTGGTGCTGAGGATCAAACCCAGTGCCTCACACGTGTGAGGCGGGTGCTCTACCACTGAGCTACAGCCCCAACCCTCTTTTCATGATTTTGACATCTATGTGTGTAATTAATGAAAGTAAAATCCCAGACTAAGTTTGGTCATTAGTTATTCTCTTGGTTAAAAAGAAAACAGTGCTCTATTCTGATTAAATGTTGGTCATATTGACATGAATTTCTAATTCTGATTACTTGATTTCTAATTAATGTTTCTTAAATGCAGTCATTGAACTAATAATTCATCCTAATTTGACACAATGTACTGAATTTTCCCTCATTGACAGTCTGACGTGCCAGAAGGAGTCATAAGGGTCCATGCTCCTCTTCTCTCTAAAGTGTCCATGGCCATTCAACTGAATAGTGAAACTAAAGCCAAAGACATATTGGCGAAATTTCAATATGAAAACAGGTGAGTGAGTGTGAAGGAAGGTCACTTCACAAGGAAGAGGGATTTGCATCAGATGAGTAAATTTCTAGGCACCTATAACCTTTGCCTTTTGAAAAATTAGAACTGTTATTTTGGGAATTTTACCAGAAGACTATAAAAGTTAAAAGCGGAGAAACGGCAAATACAAAAGTCGTTTTTTAAAGGAATTCTACAAATGGGATTCTTGCGAGGTACTCTTTATCTTAGTCACTTCATTTATTTAGTGGAATTGTACATTTTATTAGAATGAAAAAAAATACAGCAAGCTAGTTTTGTAGATCTCTTGATAGTTTTCCAGGAATATCATTACTTTAGACTTCCTCATGGGCATCACAGTTGTTTCTTTCCTGAAAACATACAAACATATTACTAATAATCTTTAGACTAAGAATGATATTTAGATTTAGGTATCTGCCATCAATAACCATAAAAGAGCATAAATCATAATCCTTTTTGTATAGGAATGCTTACTCAAGTATAAACATTTGCCTTGAGATTTTCGAATGATAAGTAGCATATATATCGTTTGTTGGTCTCTACTAAAACTCATGGATATCCTTAAAAAGCATTTCACTTATATTTCAAAGGAGTAGCTGTGCTGACCAGAAAGAGCCAATTCTAAAAGTGTGCATGTTGTATGATTCCGTTTATATAGCATTTTTGAAATGAAAAATTGTACAAATGGAGGATAAATTAATAGCTGCCATTAACTTGGGATGATTGTGGGAGGAAGATGGGCATAGGTGGGAAAGGGCATCATGAAGGATGCTGGTGGAATTGGAACTGTGCTGTTGGACTCCACTGTGGTGTTGGTGGGTCAACAAACCTCTATAACATTGTATTGAACTTAATTCACACAAAATGAGCACAAGTCAAGCTGCTAGATCTGAATGAGATAGATGTATTTTATCAACATTAATATCTTTATTGTAGTTTTGCAGAATGTTACCATTGGTGAAAACTGGGCAGGAGTACAAAGAATCCATCATTTCTTACTATATGTGAAGCTATAATTATTTCAATAAAAATTTCAGTTAAAAGAATAAACAAGAGTAGCTAGCCAGTGAAAGTCATCTGTGATATTAGAAGTTAGGATGGTGGCAGTGCAAAGGCATAATGAGAAAGAAAGTGGGAGGCCTCCAATCCTTTTTTTAGACATGGGTGTTGGCTTCATGGTATGCTCACTTTGAAAATTCATCAGGTCATATTTGTGACTTGTGCACTCTATGTATGCATGTGCATGCTTGCACACACACACACATACAGACTCACACATATATGTAAAAGCTTATACTAAAAAGGAGAAGAGGAGTAGACAGAAGCTAACAAGAGTCCTGAATATTTACTTCTCTCTGTTGCGGTTCCAGGCACTTAAGATACCATAGAATTACCTCCTATGAAGTCATACAAAGACTTGAAATAGCATTCCAGGTACTTGAGCATCCAATAGGTTCCTACTTTCTTTCATATATTACAAAACTGCCTCAGTACTCTCAAGTAGACTTTTTGTGGAAAAAAAATGTTTCTAATAAAAACAAATGAGAACCAATGACTACAAATAGACTCAAATCCTTTGAAACAACTTCTTCAAAAGATCTTGTCTTGTCTGTTCTTCCATTAGAGCTATGGGTATCTCCATTTAAAAACTGCAAACTGATGCCATTTGGTCTATTATACCAGAGGCTTATTTTCTCTCTATTCATTCCTCCTTGTGCTTATACACCAAAAGTGGGAAGGAGTGCTGTTCCTCCTAGGACCTCCCTCTTAAACTAACACAGCAATCAGAGAAGGACTCTGAAAGGTGGAAAGAAGAGGTCCAGAAGAACAACATGGTTTTGAGAGCTTCCTTATTGCCTCCCACATATGCCAGACAGGCCCTGCAGAAGCCTGCAGCCTAGATCTCACCTCAAGCAGTTGATAGGACTCCAAGAAGAGCTTGTTCCCATAACCAAAGGACCTGGAATGGGGTGCCTAACCACAGAGAGCCTTTTGGGCAATACCTCCTCTACTCCAACCAAACATCATCAGAAGAGTCATACCACTGCCACTTGTGGTTTCAGTGGGACCAAGAGGGAAACAGCTCTCCCATCCCCTGTTCAACAGAACCAGAGAGTGATTCCAATTCCTGATTCAGGATAGTGTCTGCACCATCAAGGTCTTGTAGTAAGCCGAACATCCACCTCCCTGCAGCAGCAGTGAGTCTTAGGGAGGAACAACAATGAGGCAGCACTAGGCAGGTTATCTCCATTCCCTTCCTCAGTGTCAGTAGTGCCCAGTGGGGAGCTGAGCTTCCCCCCACCCCCAATCAAAAGAATGGAACCAGACAGGTTGAGTCAAGCATCCCTGTTCTCTCCTGCCCCTACTGATATCTGCCAGGCCCAGTGGGAAGTTGAGTCTCCATCTAACATCTGGTAAAACGGTGGTAAGAAATAGGAATGGCAGATACTCTGCTTCCAACCCCCTCTCCTTTGTTGTCACTGGACACCTGTGACAAACTGAGCTTCACCCTCCACCACAGCAGCAAAGTGGTCTGTCAGCGTCTATTTACTCCTGCCCTAATGTCAGCAAAGCCTGGCAGGAAGCTCATCTACACCCCAAATGGAGCGCAGCAAGAGGCCATACATACATATGTCCACCTAGATCCATGCTAAACCTCAACAGGAAGATTGCCTACTGGAAAACGGAGATCAGAGTTTCACAATGTAATATCCCAAATACAATACAAAACCATTACTACAGGGGAAATCACAAGGTGAATGAGAAAAGACAATAGATGCCAACATTAAACAATTAGCTTTTAGAATTATCTGACAAGGGTTTTAGAGCAACTGTCACAAACGCTTCAACAAGCAATTAATGAATTCTCTTAGAACATATGAAAAAAACAGAAAATTTGAGCAAAGAAATAGATGTTGTAACATAAAGAACCAAATGGAAATTATAGAACTGAAAAATGCAATAACTGAAATAAAAATATGCTGGATAGGCTCAGTAGTGGAGTGAGGTAACAGAAGATGGAATTAGAAAACTTAAGAACATATCAATAAAGCATATTTATTTTGAACAACAAAAAGAAAATATACTGGGGAAAAAATAGCCCCAAGAACCTGCCCAGGACTATAATGAGAGCTAAATTTCCTATGGTCATTATTCCAAAAGAAGAGGACACAAAGTGAGACCAGAAAAGTATTTGGAGTAATGATAGGAAGCTTCCCAAATCAGCAAAGACATAAACCTATATACTCAAGAAGCTGAGTGAACCAAAAGGGTAAGCTATAGAAATTCATGCCAACACAGCATAATTAAACTTGTAAAAATTAAAGACCAAGTGTTAATCTTGAAAGTATCAAAGAGAAATGATTTCTTGTAGGGAGATGTCAACTCAGATCACAGTGAATTTCTCATCTAAAACCATTGAAAGTCAGACATGTAATAACATTTTTCAAGTACTGAAAGAAAAGATCCATCAATTTTCAATTCTATATTCAAAAATATTGTTCAAGAAAGGAGGGAAGATGGACTTTCTCCAATGAAAGAAAACTTAATAGTTTTTTCTCAACAAGCCTACTCATAAAGTTCTTTAAACAGAAAAGAAATGATAACAAGGCTTGAAACATAAGAAAGGAAAGGAGAACATCACAATGGATAAAAAATAGTGCTAAATATAATAAACTATCCAACTTCTCATGTATTTCTTAAATTGTGTGATGGTGGAGGCAAAGCTCATACCATCTAATATGGTATTCAATATGTGTACAGAATGCATATAAGACAATTATATTTTAAAATGATGGGATTCCACAACTTTAAAATGGTCTACTTAAAATGATTTCCTTCTAAAGTGTACAATACATAAGGAGGGAAAAAGCAATTCTTCAATTTACAAATCTGCTTTAAGGCACATAATGAAGATAAACAGTGATTAGTCATGTTTAAGTCACCCTTTAAGATGTATGATGAAAATAGCACTTTATTTACTATTCGATGTTATATAAATAACCTTAAATTTAAGGAAGTTTTGACAAATACTACAATATGAATGAAGCTTAAGGACCTTATGCTAAGTGAAATGAGCCAGTCACAAAAAGACATATAGTGGGACTGGGGTTGTGGCTCAGTGGTAGAGTGCTCACCTAGTATGTGTGGAGCAGTGGGTTCAATCCTAAGCACCACATAAAAATAAAATAAAGATATTATGTCCACCTAAAACTAAAAAATAAATATAAAAAAGACATAGACTATATGATTCACTTTTATGAGCTAGTTAGTGTTCAAAATCATAGAGAAAGAAAGTAGAATCACAGTTGCTAGGGGGAAGGGGAAATGGGAAGTTATTGTTTAATGGACATAGATTTTCAGTTTTATATGATGAAATGATTACTGTAGATGGTAGTTGTAGCACAACATTATGAATATATTTAATACCACTGAACTGGTACACTCTGCTCCTAGCCACTGGTAGCCAATCTTCTACTTTAAGTCTCTATGAATTTGACTATTCTAGAAACTAGTACAAATGTAACTCAAGAGAGAAAGGATTGCCTTGTCAACAAATGGTACAATTAGACATCCATAGGCAAAAGTTAAAAACAAAACAAAAAAACCCTTGAACTAAAACTCACCCATCATACAAACATTAACTCAAAATGGATCAGTTAAATATGTGATGTAAAATTATAAAACTTTTAGAAAATTACATAGGAGGGCTGGGGATATAGCTCAGTTGGTAGAGTTCTTGCCTTGCATGCATAAGGCCCTGGGTTCAATCCCCAGCATCACACACACACACAAAAAAAAAAAATTACATAGGAGAAAGTGTTTGTGACCCAGGACTGTGAAGAGTTCTTAGACTTGACACCAAAACTATGATATACAAGAAATAAAATTGATAAATTAGACTTCATCAAAATTGAAAACTTATTCTCTGAGAGACCCTAGGAATAGGATGAAAAGACATGCAAAAGACTGGGAGAAAATATGTGCAAACTACATATTCCACAAAGGACTAGTACCTAGAATACATAAACTCTCAAAACAGTAAAAACCCCAAACAATCCAATTTGAAAAGGCAGAAAGAACATGAACATACATTTTATCAAACCAATTTTGAAGTCAGCTTCCTGTTGCCGTCACAAACACCTGAGAAAAATCAACATACAGAAAGAAAAGGTTTCTTTTGGCCCATAGTTTGGAAGTTCTGGTCCATGACTGATTGGCCCCATTGCTTTTAGGCCCATGACAGCACATATCAGTGGCCAATGGCAGAGCAAAACTGTTGGTCTGCAATCAAAAAGAAGAGGAAGAAACTGGGGTCCCATAATCTCTTCAAGGGATTACCTAAGGACCTCCCACTAGCCCCTACCTCTTAAGTTTCCTTCACCTCCCAATAGCACCACGCTGGAGACTAAGCCTCTAACACAGGGGCATTTGGGTACACCTGGAACCATGGTAGAGACATACAGGTGATACACACGTGAAAAGATGCTCACAAATTAGAACTACAGTGACATTCTTACATACCTGTGAAGATGGCTAACATATAGTGTCAACACCAAATACTGACAAAGATAGAAACTGGATCACCCCTACATTGCTGGCAGGCATGTAAAATAGTTCAGTAACACCATAAAACAGTTTGGCAATTTCTTATAAAACTAAATATTCAGCTGAATATACAGCATTTATACTTCTGAACATTTATCCCAAAGAAATGAAGTCTTGTTTTCGTACAAAAGCCTGTACACACAAACTTACAGCAGATTTACTGATATAGTCAAAACTGGATAAAACCCAGATGTCCTTCAAGAGATGGATGACCAAACAAATTGTGATACATGCACACGAGGGAGGGCATATGACTCAGCAAGGAAAATGTAACAACTTGGTGAATCTCAGGATTTATGCCGAGTGGGAGGAAAAAAAAAAAACAATACAAAAAGGTTTCATGCTGTATATTTCCATTTGGACAACATTTATGAAATTGTGAATTTGTAGAAATGCTGACTAGAATAGTGGTTGCCAGGGGTGAGGTGGGGATAGGGTAGAATAGGGAGAGGAAAGTGAATGTTACTATAAAAAGGCAACAGGAGGGAAGCCTGTGATGATGGGAATGTTCTGTGCTTTGACTGAACCACGGTCAACATTCTGGTTGTGGAATTGCCCTCAAATTTTGCAACACGGTACTATTGGGAGAAATTGGGCAAAGGGTGCACTGGATCTGTCTTTATTATTTTTTTCACAGCTAAATGAAAATGTACAATATCTCAAATAAAGTTAATTAAATAGAAGAGGGCACTCATCCTCCTTCCTCACAACAGAGAGGCGAGGGCAATCAGAAGTAGCCATGCCCCAGGTGGTTCCTGGAGCGCATGGAGACCAGCCCTGGTCTTTTGGGCTATTCTATCCCAGCATTCAAGTCTGGGACAGAAAAATTGAATTGGGCAATTGTTGTTTTCTGATTTGCTTTTATTATAGGCAGACTTACAAAGAAGTCAACCTTACTTTGCAAAATGTAGAAATGTGACATGGGCTGAGCAGAGAATGTCATTCAGTTTTGGGCAAATATAGAAATGAAACTTGACTTTTGAATTGTGGCCAACAAATGATTATTAAACACGCAGCTGCTCCCTGGCCAGCCTTGATGTGTCAGCATCCGTTCTCTCCCTAATAGCATGCTGACAGTTGTGGCTAGAATGGGCTCTCTCTGGTGTAGGCCACTGAGCATGCCATCTTGGTTTGGAATCATCCCAAATTATCTGGACTTCAACTTCTTTATCTGTGTCAAAAAGGGAAAAAAAAAAAATTATTTTTGTCATGACTCTAGCTGTCATATGATTTTATGGAGTTTATTTCATCAAGACAGAATGAATTGTTTGTTTTCATGTTTCTAATATGCAAATTTACCTCAAATCAAGAAAGAGAGTTAAAATTATATTGCTTTCTCTATTTTTAGTCATGGTTCATCAGAGTGTATTAAGATTCAGAACCAAAGATTATATGAAATTGGAGGAAATATAGGTAAGCATTCTTTAATAATTTCTGCTTCTAAATTCTCTGACTATCCTAAAAGAAATATTGTTATTATAAAGGTATATTTTATGTGTTATGTCTATTTATTTTGGATAAGAAGTCAAAATCAGTTTTCATTTTTTTTAATCGTATGTAAAAAAACAGGTGCATGACCTGTCTACAGTATTCTAAAATTTAAGTGAGACTATTTTAGTGTGGATGTGGAACAGACTTAGGTCTAGTCTCTCTTGAGGTTCATGCAAAACAAAGGGCACTGAGAACTGAGAGAAGAAGCATGACACCCTTTTTCTTCAATTTTCCCATTTTAGCTCAGAGCCCAGGATCTTTCACTTACTGATTTCCCTGATAGGACTGGATCCAAAGAAAATCCCTTCTCCTTGTGCCTTTGTCCACGTCCTCTGAGCTCCACGCACCTGTCTGTGCCCTGACTTGTGGCCTGCGTGCCTCCTCCTGGCTTTCCTGAGGGGGTCCTGTCTGGTCAGGGCCTTGTTCCAGTCAGCCTCGGTTCTATCCTGCATCTTCCACTTTTCCTTCCCAATGGCATCGTTTCTGTTGGAATTAAAAAATGGTCGGTCATTTCTCTCACCTCTATGGAATTCTCTCTTGACCCCCCTCGGGTCCACTCCCGTTTCTCTGTTCCACGTACAGCGAACCCCTTCCATCAGTCAGTCCTCTGCACTCCTATTTCTTCTGTTTACTCTTGAAACCACTCCTGTCAAGCCTCCCCCCACCTCCCCAGTACTTCTCCAAAATCGCCCTCTTGTCAAGGCCACCAGAGAACTCTTAGGCCATGAGATCCAGTCGTCCCTTCTGTCTTTTGGACTGCCCGAAGTCTTCTTTCTCTTTGACAAACACTTTCTCTTGATTTCGAGGACAGTTAAGCTTCTGACTTCCTTAGAATCCTCAGCATTCTCACACAGTACTCTCAGCCCACCTCATGGCTTTAAATACACCTGAGGGCTGATTCATCTGACCAGGTGTTTCCTTGGCCCCCAAACTTGAGTCACCAGGCTCACTTTGCCTGGCACTCTGTCCTTGCTGTGGCTTTACCCAGGATGCCCCATTTCAGATATCCTCCTCTCCCTCTCGCTTCTTCCGTGTCTAGGCTGGTGACTCTTCTAGTGAGGTCTTCCTGGCTCCTGTACCCTCTCCCTGTGCCTGCCTTGCTTTGTTTTCCTCTAATATTCTTATCACCACTGGATTGACTTTATATTTTACATGTTTATCTGCTACATAAGCACCCAAGGGCAAGTGTTTGTGAACATCCAGTGCATTGACCCAGCCTTAGAATAGTGCCCGGCACTCCACTCCTCTCTTGCTTTTGGGCATGACTTCCACAAAGCAACAAAATGTCCAGTTCCTAAAATAAGCTTGCCTTGAATCTTCTCTGCCCTTCTCAAGTTTTACTGTCTGTAAAAGCATTAGAGGATATATATTAGCATATAAATGGTCAGCTTATACCTGAAAGGAGTTCTTGCCTTGTTTTTCTAATGTACATGTTGAAGCTAGAGAAAGTGTGCCTCTGGAGGGTATGTCTGTTTCTCCACAATTTATATGAGATCCTTTTGAATTATTTCAGTCTTAGAAATGGAGGGAAGGAGGGAAGAGGAGGGAAGCATTGCTATGAAACTTCGAAATATATACACTTTGGGCTGAGAACTATTGGCCTGATTTGAACCTTACTCACATATGAATGTGCATGCATGTACACAGGTAGAAGTTGCCCTCTTGAAAACATTCTTTGAATTTCTCTTTATCTTTAGGACAGCATTGCTTGGATCCAGATGCATATATTTTGGATGTATATCATGTAAATCCTCATGCAGAATGGGTGATTAAGCCCCAAGCGAGTCTTTGAAGATGGCTGCTATTCTGTGTTCTATGCCAAGAAGATCCTACATTTTGTGGGGGAAAATAAGATTGCCTTGACATGTTTGTTCCCATAACCCTGTTGTGTTTCTCAAGGAGTGGTATCTCCAGCTTTGTCCGCTTGAACTATGGAAGAGGAGCTGGTTCACCACTTAAGCTGACCTTCATCACGTTTCCTTGATAAAAGGAAAGCAGATGTGATGCTTCCAGAAGAAAGGTCAATGGAGAATACAGAACTCTAATCATTTCTAGTATTCAACTTTGCAGCAGAAATGAACTTGGTCCTGTACCTGGGGATCAGCAACACTTCTTGATGTAGCCAATGCTACCAAGCATAAGAAGTGAAAAAGACCCTTTTTTATATTTGGGTTTATACATATATTGACCTCTTTTAAGCGAGAATGCCAGAAATAGCCTTACTTTCTGCCCTACAAAATAATCTAGATCTACTTTCCAAAGAGAATCAGTTTATAAAGTGACACATTTTATCAATGCTCTGACTTATCTCTGAATTGGGGGAGGAGGAACTTTGGTCTAAAGAAAACTGTGGTGTTAAGTATGTTGTGCCATGCTACCTGATAACCCTTAACTTCCTGGTGCAAATGAACAATTCTCTGTTACTGAATATTGAAAATTGGTATTTTTTTGTCTTTTTATTTCTGGTACTGGGGCTTGAACTCAGGACCTCACATGTTAGGTATTTGCTCTACAACTGAGCTATACCCCCACCCCCTTTTTTAAATTTTATCCTAAGACAGGGTTCTGCTCAGTTGACTAGGCTGGCCTCTAACTTGCCATCCTCCTGCCTCAGCCTCCTGAATAACTGAGATTATAGGAGTGTGCCACTGCACCTGGCTCCAAAATAAATATTTTGTAGTTTATTGTCTTATGAGCACAGATCCCCATTGTAAAGCTCAACTTGACAAAGAGTATCTTCTGCTCTGCAAGAGCATAAAACAAAAGCCTTTGTTTTTGTCAGCAGGCACAGAGTCTTTTCTCATCATGGTTATGGTGCTCAATGAAATCCTCTCATATGCCAGGCAACAATTTCCTTTTTTGATCAAACAACCTAAAAACACAGACCTGCCTTTATCCAAGAGTGCTGAAAAATACTATTAGATCCAGTTTTATAAGCTGCAAAAGACTTTGCTTTTATTTATTAATCATAGACATGGCTAAGCACTGTGGGTTAGCATAGGGCCATAGAATTGGATGATCAGATGGTGCGCTGAGAACTCCCCCGCTATCAAGATCTCACAGAGCCATTTTCCAGACTCGAGATTGGCCAGAACACACAGTCCTCGTGTTTCTAATTTAGAACAAATCTGAAATGTGCTGAGGGATTGGATAGTGCTGCCTTTCATCTTGAGATTGCAGATAGGGTCCTCCTAGGGATAAGCCTGAAATGGGGACAGAGTTCTCATTTATCCCAGACACATACTCTAACTCAGAATTCAGATTGAGGTTTTGATGGATTTGTATCAGATTAAATAAGATTTAAGGCCCAAGCCACATTCTCATGATTCAAAGCTGAATCACAAATACAGAAAAACGTTTGTTATTTATCAAGTCTCAAAACATAATGTGGTAACATTCAAAGTGCATATATGGAAGAAATCTTTTATATGCTACATTATGCCTTGACGTCTACACAAAACATTATTTATACTCAGCATGTAGATAATTGCATTTCTAACCTGTAGAATTTTGTTATGCTTTTATAGGAGAAACAATGATCCATTCATTTGACTTGTTTGAGAATTTTTATTTTCTTTATCTGAAAACCATTAGAAACTAAACTGTATATGTGGTTTCTATTCATTCCTACATTTCAAAGTTTTCAATGTATGGCTAATGGTATGTGAGTTTACATAACGAATTTCCAGAGTCTGGAAAAATAATTTTATCATTTTTGCAATTCAAATAACAAAAGTAAACGTTTCACCTTAGGTAATTGCCAAATCCCAAGACATCAGATAGAAGTAATTTATGCCCACACATGGAAGAAACTTCCAGTAGCTTCCCTACACATCTATATACCTGAAAACTGATCTTTTTCATTGTATTTCCTCTCATTAGAACAGTTAAATTCTGTTGTGTTTATATAGAGAATTCACAGATCTATTCATTTAATGTCTTATTTTGAAGTTTTCATGTCTTTTGACTGAAAGTACATTAGGTCTCACACAGAGATTCTAAATGTGTTCAGATTTATCCCAACTTATAACCATCCTTAAATTCGAAAATGCCTGTCATCTTAAGTATTGAAAAATCTTTTGCCTTAGCAAAAGTTGTTTTTAGAAAAGTTCATTAAACAGTGTGTAAAAATGAATAGTCAAAACCAAAGGAAAGTCAGATGACTGGCTTGTAAATACCGTTCTGACCCTCACCCCATCCCAAATGTTCTTGGTACACAGTAAGAAAAATAATATTGTCCAGGAAAGTAATTACAGGAAGTTAATGTTTAGGAGCACTCATTCTTAGATCTGGCTCATTGTTTCCTTCATTCTGTAAAAGCTAACTTGGGAACATGATCTTTGAACAAACTGGAATGTCAGTTCTTTACGATGTATATACAGTATAAACTACCTCACTTGCTTTTCTTGGGGAAAAAACTAATAGACTTTAACAATTTTTGTTACAAACTGTCTTAGTCATATTATTTAAGTCACTTCAGTTAGCTTTCAATGTGCATTTATTAATATGCATTTAATGATGTAAAATATTTTTAGCAAAGTTTAAAACCAACTACTCTGTAACTGTGACCTGTGGTATACTCTGAGATCATCCATGGTCCCTCACTGATTATCTTGTGTTTCTAATCAGGTGGAAATGCAGGTTTTCAGAAGCAGGAATGTCCATCTTTTCTTTCAGACATTTGCAACTGTTGTCTGCATAATTCATTTGGCTGAAAAGTAACATGAGAATAAGATGTCCCTTCATTTTTTCACATAGATATTACTTGCCTAAATAGTCAATATATTATGAGATTAAAGAGGCCCCTGACAGACATTTTTTCAACTGTTTTCCATAAATATGTCACACTAAAAAATAAAATAACTTGGGTTTAAAGCATTCCTTTCAAGGATTTCAACAGTTTTATATATACATACCTAATTTTAAAAATAACATATTTTCTTTCAGGGACTTTCCAACTATTTTCTCAAATTGTGTAAATTGAGAAATCTTATGTTGCTGGAAAATGCCAATGTATGTTTCTTCCCATCTCAAAAGTTCATATTGACTCTTGTCTCTTCAGTTTTCATTGTCGTGTAGCATGAGTATGTTGCATTTTAACCCCTAAAAATAAAGAAAAAAAAAACAAAAATATTCTCACAAAAATTCTTTGTTTGACTAGTCTGAGGACACAGGGGCCACTGAAAGAACAGGAGTTTTAAAGTCAGAAGTTTTGTGTCTGAGCCCATCTCTCTCAGGAACAAGATGATCTTGTGCAAAAGCTGCTTGGCATCATGGGAATGGTGGTGGGTTAAAGGTAATTTGAATAAGCAGCCGTTTCTTAAATTTGTTCATTAGTGCTTTGTCTGTGCAGGTTTTTAATGAATGATTTAAATATAATGATTTGTAGACACATGATTTATACACATACATGCATACACAATCTTTTCCATAAATACAGAAAATAGTTTTGACAAAATTTAAAACCAATTTGTGAATTTTAATTCAGCAGTTTATTATTATATATCCTGTCCAAGAAGCAAAACAAAGAAATATAAGGCATAAAAATATGAAAACTATAAAATGGTCTATATTTTTAAATGGTATGATTAATTGTATTATTTGTATAGAAAACCCTCAGGCATCTTCAACTATTCATATTAATGAGATAATGTATCAAGATCATGGCACATATGATCACTGTATAAAAGTCAGTTTGCTTTTATGTTAGCAAAAATCAATTGGGAAATACATTTTTAAACTTCCATTTACTACAGTATCAAAACTTGTAAAATATCTACAACTATATTTAACAGAGTATTTGCAAAACATATATGCTAAACAGTGCAAATGTTTCTCTAGGAGTATAAGATATAGGTAAACAAATATATAAATTATAACATGTTTCTGGATGAAAAAGAATTGGCAGGATATTAATTCCCCACAAGCAGATCTATTGATTCAATACGATCCTAATCATCAAGTAGGTTTTTATTGGTAGAAATTGACAAACTAATTATGAAATATATATAAAGATACAAAGGATCTAGAATATCTAATCTTACCAAAAAGGAGCCACATTCTTAGAATGAATTATTTTAAGGTTTACTACAAAATTATAGCTATTAAAACACTGTGATTCAGAATAAATAGCCATGAGATCATCAGTGAAACAGAATCACACAGATATAGGCGTCCATTTGATTTTCAACACAGCAACCCAGTAGGAAAACAAACTTCAACAGATAGTCCTAGAACAACTGGATGGATAGCCATACAGAAAGAGGCAGGCAGGCAGGAACACAGAAAGGACAGGAATGGACCCCTTCCCATAACACACAAAAATTCATCCAGAATGAGTCATAGAATCCAAATCCATGAGACTTTCATTAAAAAAAAAAAAATACGGTAGCTTTGAAGCTAGAAGTAGGCAAAGATTTCTTAGGAACAAAATGCAACACATGTACAAGATTAATAAATGAGACTTCAACAAAATTTAAAACCACTGCTATCCAAAAAAGAGCATGAAGAAATCAATAAGCAAACCACAGCTTGGGAAAAGTATATTTGTAAAGCATGTTTAACCAAGGGCTGGGATCTAGGACATGTAAAGAACTCATTAATAAAAAGGCAAACAGCCCAATTTTCAAAAAAATGAGTATAACGCTTAGGAACAGACCCTTCTTAAAAGAGATACAACAACCATGTGAAAAGGTATGCAATATATTGAGTCACTAGGACAATGCATGCTGAAACATGTGATGCCAATGTATAGGCTCATCAAAAGAGTTCAAATTAAAAAGCCTTATCATGACAAGCATGGAAGAAGCTGAGCTCTTAGACATTGTCAATAGCAGCATAGCATGAGAT